CCTTCCCTCTGACACTCTGTGTAATTCCTTTTCYATTTTGCACATTTACCACGCTCTAATTCTTCCTTCTTTATGCCTGCTATTCTCCTCATCTACCTTCACATGCACTTTCCATGCACCCCCCACAGTGGGAATACCTTGGCCACTCTCCAGAGARCAGGAAAATGCTGGTGTGTGTCAGCCCTGCACCACAACCCTAACTCCCTCTAATGCCACTCCTGAAAATTCCTTYGACTTGTCTTTTTCAAACCCTTTCAAGACTAAGTTTGAGGTTCTTCTCTTAGCCCACCTCTATCTGAACACCATGAGGTCCTTCCCCCACCTCCTCACTAAAGAAGGAATTTCTGGCTCATAGGTAAGGGCCATCCCAGCTAATAGGTAAGGGCTAACAAGCAAGGACCTAGCCCATTTACCTGTTCGCAGATGTCCCTCCACAGCCATGTCCTCTGCTCAATGAATTCAACAGAAAAAAAGAAAGGAATAATTTGAAATATGTTGTGTAAGTTAAGCACACAGCTTCAGTGGGAAGCTCTCAAATGGACTAGAGAAGAAGCCTTTGGAGARAAAACCTTCAGAGAAAAGCCTACCTGGTTCCTACTTAACTTGTACTTTACCAAACTTTGACACCATAACTCAAATTATTTTCATTCAATATAAATACTTCAAATTGCTCAAAGTGCTCAAAGTCTGGGATGGATTCCCCCCTTCCAGGGCTTTAATGTCATGGAACACTGCCTCTGACAGTGTTCAAAGAACTATGCCTGTATGAGGCTTTACATAACCTGACTCAAACTGCCCTTTCTAAACAGTAACACAGAGACAACAGTACAAACAAATTATCCACTATGCATCTTCTTCCTTAAATTTCACAATTCATAAACAACAGCATTGTTATGCTGTTAATTAGTAATTAGAGCAGGTGTTGTTTAATCAAGGGCAGAAATTCAGCTCTTGAGAAGGGCCTCAAAGATCTGTCAAAAGAATGCAATATATTCAGATGTAACAAATGTACTTGACTTGTGTGGGAGCAGAACCTTCCTTCTCTGTCCCATCCTGAGCTGCAGCTTGTTTCACATGCAGTGCAATGWCCCAGAACAGCAAGTCCTGCTCTCATTCAGGCATTGCCTCTTCTGCYGGCATGGGCAGCATCAGTGCTCGGGGTTCACGTGATTTGGAAAGAACATTTTCACTGTAAAATTACACAGAGAAAATGCTGAAGAGCTATACAGTCCATTCTTGCTAATCTAAATATTTTCCCTTWTATATTCTGTAAAAGATAAAGAACCCAATGAGTTTTAAAACTCCCTTTCTTCAAATGTCTACRTACATACATAAACACGTAACTGCACACATAGAAATACTGATGTACAAAAAAGAAAGGGAAAAGAAAACCACTGAATCGAGTAGTTCTGAACCCTTGCAAGACCTTCAGGTGTTGTATGTCAAACTTCTTGAGACTTTCTCTGTGTTTGCGAGTACTGTGACCATATATATAGGATTTATGGTGCACCTTGCAGCACTGAGGCTCCCATTTCCCTACACACAGTTTTTGAGGTGTTTTGGAAAATGTGTCTCATTCGTTTTTCATATGGGCTTAGGGCTCAGTGTAAGAGCTTTCAGAAGTGTTGTTGGGGCAGTGTTACATTGAGAAACCAAAGAAAAACGCAGTTGGCAGAGTGGGGCATGGACTGTAATGCAAGTTATGTGCTGTGGAATGGCTCCTCTCTATTCCCCACCAATATAAAGCCTACATCCAGAGTCAGCTATGTCTTCCTCCCTCCCCTCCCCTTTTTTCCAGCTTCTTCTGTGCCTAAAACTTCAAAATGTACACAACCACGWAGTGCCTCTAAATTTCCCTAAGTTTCAATTTTAGTTTTCCTTAAAATAAGCACTTTCCTTGAGCAATCCAATAATTATTTACCACCATATTGGGGAAAAATAAGYAGACATGCCCAACTTTATCCATGTGAGTAACTCACTGTGACCTACTTGTGTGAGTAGGCCATAAAATGTTAGACATCCTCTGTTCAATGGGGAAGTCAGCATTCAAACAGGTGCTAAAAATCAAGGAGCAAGTGRTGCTCCCATTATAAATCCTTCCTTAAAAAAAAAAAACAACTAGGRCAGCAATCTCTTTTTTCAGCTAACTGCAAAGAGAAAGACTAGGTGCAGCACAAACACTGTTGGATCTGGGAAGAAAAAAACAGCACAAGAAATAATCATCCTGAAGAAAAGACCTGGTTTGCTCTTAGGCTTTTTCTCTGTTTCCTTAGCAAACATGCCATTGGAGCCTGAACTTTTTTATCTCAGGTGTTCTGCAAAGAGGTAGGGCCTGAATCCCCACCTTTCATTACTACAGAAATTAATCCATTTCCTTGCATGAACTGATGCATGTTTTTTCCAGTTATTCAAAGCAAATGTTCAAAGCAAATTGCTTTTTTATTTATTTTCCTCTAAATGTCTGGTTCTCAGGGAAGAATCCTGGTGCCTTAGTCCCAGTCTTGAATGAAACCTACAAGCTTTTATTTTCTATCTGATCCAGATCAGAACAATACAGAGGCATTAAACTAATGCCCTGAGCCATAGGGCACAGCTACCAACCACCTGCTTTAATCTGCTGTAGGGAATGCAGGACAGGGCAGGACAGACAGGGCAGGACTTGGAACAAAACTCCTTTTTTAATGCAGAATCTGCAGTGGTACAAACACTTTTGTCCCTGGTCCTGTTAAACACTTCCATTTAAGAAAATGAGTAACAAGTCACTGAGACGATTTCATTATTTTCTCCACTAAAAGGTGAATTTCAGAGGAAATACATYTTTTTGTTTTTATTACTAAGGCAATAAACTATTGTGGGGTTTAAATTTCATCAGCAGGCCTATGTTTGATTACAGAAATGAACTGAATAAAATAGTTTGCTAGGAATATAGTGAATACAAAGGTTAGGGCTGATCCCRGACTGCTGGGCAGCAAGCTGAGTGTGGGAACCCACCTGGCAGCCTTACTCCTGTCAAAGCCAAAGTGCTCAGGCTGCTGTAACACTGCAACTCAGCACAGGGCAGAAAAACAGGCAAACCCCCGCACTTTAGCATRCTCCAACAGCATGCTTTGGCCACTGAATTAATTTTCTTTTTCATTTGCAGTTGTCTTCAAGAGTGGTTTTAAGTGCCAGATCTCTAAGGATGAGGACCAACAGCTTGCATTGTGTTGCTGGCAATGTTCTCAGCAGGGACTCGAGACCAGTGAACAAAATTAATCTAGGGGTGGATAAATCTAGCTGCAAACTTTTCATGATGCCACACAATACCAAGCAGAAAAAACCCAAATACTTCCATCTGTTTACACAGACTTCTTGTCCTGGTSTAGTGTGGATAAGAGAAATGCTAAAAATAGCTCAAATCTATTTTTACAGAAGACAAATTGAAGGTTATAAATCAGCTGAACCACTCTGGAATCCATTAAACTATTACAATAACATTTTGACAGCATAAGTAGACTCAGTCAAACCTACTAAAGGTCACCTTTAAAACAAAGATCTAGTTTTTGATCTGTGTTTCATGTTTTGGATCTGCTGTGTGCTTCAAAAGAAGTCTGGTAGAAGAGACATGGGGGTTTCCACATGGATGTCCTTTTACATTTTAGTTCAAGAACTGCACGCTGCCTTATCTTGCTCCAATCATTATTTTACTTAAATGTGTGTAAGAGAGAGGCCCAGACCTACAGTTAGCAAAGAAATGAATCATCTTCTCTCCACAAAAAAGAGTCATCCCTTACAGTCAGGGTGTTGAAACTAGTTTTGCAACTACTTTACAAAAATAACCAAGTTAACAAATGGGGAAATAGGGAAAAAGAAAAAAAAAAAAGAAAGAAAAAGAAAATTTAAAAAGAAAAAGAAAATCTACCATGCAAGACAAATTTAACAATTATCAGTTGATGCTGGTCCATCAATTCTTAGGAACCAGCTATTCACAATTGTTCAAAAGCAGCTTGAAAAATGTTGATAGTTCAGCTTGGTATTTCAAAATGTACTGAACATCAGGRTCACAAACCCACCATCTTGGCATTCCTGTATCTTTTGTATCTGTGAAGTGCACCACAAAAGTCCCAGATCATAAACTGTGCAGGAAGCAATGAAACTCTATTCCCAATAGCAACTCAACTGAGAAAAGCCAGTAGCTGAGTGGCTTGGCGACAGCCACACCTTGGATCTACAGCTGTGCACAGCTCTTCAGCTTCGTTCAGCTCGGGATCTGAGCGGGTGCGAGCAGACAGAAGAACAGTCCGGACTGCATGCAGCGCGAATCAATAAGAAATTGGTCATCACTGCTGGGTCCTTACTGCCTCACGTGGATTTTTCAAATTGCCGCGCTGATAACAGAGGGCAGATAAAACGAGCCCGGAAGTTAGCCATGGCACAGTAAGACCTTCTACACGTAAGAAATGTGCCTGGCAAGTGTAGTTACCGACTAGAACACACACGTGCCCTGCGCCCAGGTGAGGGGTGCTCTATGTGATACATTATGGAGAAATTGCGGGATACTCCTGAGATGCCTGTATGCCCACACGAAGAAAACAGGCGATGCCGGAGGAAATGCCAAGCAGAACTGTCCGTCCCGGCCTTACACCCCTGCCTGGCAGGTGACAGCGGCGCTGGGGCCCGGCGTGTGCCGGGGACAGGGCAGCTCTGCGGAGCCGACCCCGCTCCGGTAGCGGGACACTCCGCGGGTCGCTCCGTTAGCMGAGGCTGCTCCGCGGCACGGCCCCGCCGCCCGGGACACGGGCAGGGCACGGGCCAGCCCCGCAAACCCCGGACCTGTGTGTCCCTTTCTCTCTTTGGGACGGTGCCTAGCTCAGAAGCGTCCTCCTTTCCGTCCCACCGCTCGCCCCGCACAGACATCCCAGACCGCCCGCTCGCCCCGGTGCTCGCCCGAGCCGGCTGCCGGTGCCCGGCCGGGGCCGCCCTCGCCTCCGCCGCCCCGGGGCCGCCCGCAGCTCGCTTACCTCCGCCATGGGGCAGCCGCCTCCGCCGGGGCCGCCACTGCCACCGCCCCATCCTCCTCCCGCGGCGGGGCGGG